AAAGCATTAGCTAGGCCTGGTGGTGCACGCTTTTAATTCCAGCACTCGGGGAGGCAGAGGCAGGCCTCTCTATGAGTATGAGGCCAGCCTGTCTACAAAGCCAGGACAGTCTAGGAAAGTCAAGGCTACACAGAAAAACCCTATCTCGAAAAAAACAAACACATGCTCACCCCCAGGAAGGTTTTAACTCTGATGACTCTTGGCTTTGTTTTTTTCATGTATCAGAAGTTGGCATTAAACTACTTGTGCTGGGAATGGAGAGATGGCTCAGCAGCTGAGAGCACAAGCTGCTCGCGCTAAGGACCTGGGTTTAAGTCCTAGAAGGAGCTTGAGTTTTTCCCAAAGTGGTCTCAAATAGTAAGTGCTATCAAACATACAGCAGGATGCTGATATGTGTAAACATTATCTCAGCTCTTCTTCACCTCAGACTACCATTTACCGAGAGAAAAACTATTATTATGTCCATTCTATGAACTGGAAAACTGAGATCAGCTTGCCCGCGGTCACACAGCCAGGACTTAGCATGCCTGGTTCTAAGCTCAGGACTAACACCAGAACCGCTCAGCCTGTATTGTGGTGACGCCTTGTTCTCTTCCCTCACGTGCTCTAGCAGAAGGCCCCACACCCATGCATGCATTCCCATCACTATGTGGACTTGGTGGGTTTTTTGTTTGCTTGAAGGAGCACATCAAGCTTCATTTCCCTAGGCTGAAGCCTCTCTTCAGTACTGAGGATTGCTTTACTGAACTACACTGTTTATTACTGAGTTTAGACAGAAGCCACAAAACTGCTAAATATGGAGATTTTCTCAACTTTTAACTTATGGCAGAGAGGGGTAATAATACACAACAAATCAACAATTTATCATTTGCAGATTGATTTTTTTCTCTCTAGCAGTTTCCAGGATAACACTTCATTAAGAACCCCCAGCCCCAGAGCCAATCTGCTAACTTCTTTAAAATGCTCTTCCCAAGCCTGAAGTTGGTAGAACACCCACAGTATGCTTGAGGTCCTAGGTTCCATCCCCAGCACCATAAATAAATCTCTACCTACACTTATTAATGGGACTATAAAATACAAAGTGTGTATCCAACATGTCACAATGCCCGAAACAGACTACCAGCACATCTCCAATCTTTCTAATATGAGCACTAAAAATGTCACTGACTCCTTCAGACCTACAAATCCTGACTGCCTGGGAAACTTAAATTCTCAGCAAGTCATGCTCAATAGCTTCCCATAGGAAGATAAACACACGGGTTGTTCAGTGCCCAGCAGGCTGGGAACAGACGAGGTTAATAGCATGCTGACCTTGGCATTATCATGTACTTTACACAGTTACTGTACACACGAGGTTAACTACTCCAGGAAATTTTTTACCAAGTTGTGCTGAGCTGAAGTATGCCTAAAATGCTACTCAGGGTCAGACTGGCAAAGTTTGAACTGCTGAGTCACGAGCTGCCTTGCCTCCCATAGATTGTTACTCTGCTGTAGAAGCCCCTCCACAGCTTTCTATGCAAACGTCTGCATTGGTTAATGCACTAATGAAAACCTCAGAGACTAAAATGTAAAATCTTACGTTGGAAATAACAGACTTCCTCTTGAATTAATTTAACTAAAAAATCATGCTCAAATTTGAGTTCTCCACTTCTCTCCTTTTGTCTTGTGATTAGTGGCCTGTCAGTCTGCTCTAAATCTCTAGCTTTCCCTGCAGAACACATTGCATGGGGAAGGGATACGGGATATGCTAAAGCTAAGAGTTTTCCGAGGGAAGATGTAGCTTTACTGGTCCAGCTGACCCAGAAGCACTGAGAAGGGCATACTGCAGGCATTCAATATGAAGCTGTATCCACAGGTTACTCCCAACACTTATGTATTTGTTGTATAAGGCTGCTGGCTGCATTTAGCAACACACATAAAACTTATTCTGGGTCAGAAGCATTAAGAGTACATCAATTTAAGATTAAAGTTATTAACTGAAGTTGTAAAAGCTGACTACATCAATATCCAGGGCATTATAATAAGATCAATTGTACTCTCTTAAAGGCAGTTTAAACAGGCTGAGTACACAATAGGTTAAATGCAGTCTGAAGATTTCAAGGACTCTAACTTGGCCTGCCAAAACTTACCTGTTATCACCTCAAAGTCCTTAAAGACCAACAGTCCAAATGGAGCAACAAGCCTCCTAACTGCTGCTAGCAGACCCCAAGTATACCACACAAATGCTCTGAGGACAGACATCTGAACACATCTTCACAGCGTACTTTCCATGGCCATTTACTTAAGTAGATGTCTTAGGTATTTGTGAATTACTTTCCAGGCATTGATGCTTATAATGAAGTACTTTCTACATACTCCACAGTTTAGCTGATGTGAGTCCTACTTAAAGTCTGAGGCCACACAGGCATGGTGGCATGAGCCTGTAATTCCAACCTTTGGAAAGTAGAGATAGGACGACCCGGAATTTAAGGTCAGCCTGAGCTGTCAAGTTTCCAGCCAACCATTCAAAAACCCAAGTCTTAAGCTAGCTGCTTCTCACCAAAAGGCAAGGAAAAGGGGTGTTTTTGGCATAGGACATCCCCCCACATAGGACTTACCTGGCCTACAATGTTAGTACAGAAACAGAGTAATTCTGGGATTGCTGTACTGTATCTTCAATTAACCTTTTAAAACATAACCACCATTGGAAACCTGAGCCAAACTACTTAACTGATAGAGCTGCAACTGTCTTTTTTCAACTTATTTTTAGTTCTGTTTCGTTAGATTTTTTTTTGGCAGGGTCTTACATACACCCTAGACAGGGAACCTTGCAATCCTCTTTGCGATTGCCGAAGTGCTGGGAACACAGGCCTGTGCTACCATGCCCACCTAGTCTTAGTTCATGAAGAAAAACATCTAACATTCAGTTTCACTTGTTTGACCAACAAGCCAAAGAGCTCTATATAATTAAAACGGCAAACCACAACACAGCATACACAGTATAACACCATACAGAGTCAACTAAGATTAAGAATTGGTATACTAAGACTTTAGATACAATAATAATTTTTATTTATCTAGTGGTACTTGATGCTTCACAGGGCACCATACAACAAATTTTAAAAATACAATAAAAAAAAAAAAAAAAGAAAAAAGAAAAGAAATCAAACAGCCAAAGAAATTAATTCCACCAGAGGGCAATGGCCCACAGAAAAAATAAAAAAAACAAAAACCCAGAGGAAAACCTACCCTTTTGTCCACTTAAGAACATTAATTCTTCCTGTCCAAGTGTTGCCTTAAGAAATATGAAAATAAAGTGCTAAAGAAAAGGTCTTTGAGAAGAGTTAAAACTTCACATAGCATCTTTCACAAAGGTTTTTCCCAAAATGCTTTCCTTACTTAGTAAGAATATTAAACAACACAAACATCTTTGAGCCTCTATTTGGTCCTAATCTTGAAGTCACAGTCTTCAGCATTTTCCCCCTTATCTATCCTCAAATCACCTCTATCAGCAAAATGTCACTTAAGGAGTAGGCAGTCTCTTTTGATCTGTATTTCTACTGCAAATCTTGTTTTCCATAAATAGCAAGAAGCTATGTTAAGTATTTTAATTGATAATGCAATAAAAATTTCCCCAAGTGGTTTAAAATTAAATTTTAACTTTGAGAACTATTCAATTCTCAAAATTAATAACTACCAAGGGTTATTTGAAATCAACTATACAAAACAGCAATATTTAAAAATGTGTAATAGGTTATGGGTAGAAAATTTCTAAGAACAGGAAAGTGGTCTGGAAATTTGTCTGATTTTAGTACTCAATGATACAGTCAAGAAGTCAGACCACACACAAGGGAGAAAGGTGCTATGTATCCTGCTTGGTAGCACTTAATGTTCATTATCAATTTTACAAAAGCGAAGCAGAAGCTGTTTATTATCTAAACTTCTACCAGAGTAGTCAGAAGCACAAGCTTCTAGCACTCCTAGAAGTTTGAGAATGGCATTCATATATGAGCCACACGATGGCACAATTTATTTCCCTTTAGAATCCACAGAAATACAAACAGAGGGAGACAAAACAAACAGTGATGGGGGCCCAAGAAATTTAGGGCATAAAATGAAAGAAAACTGATTATTAGTTGCCCCCAAAACATTAAAGTAGAGCCTTAATGCTTGGTTCTTCAAGAACTGAGGGGGCATTTTGGCTTATGTTCACACTTAAACCAACATAATATCTGACTGCTACATATAAATTAAATACAAATTAAGCAAATCCAGGCATTTTTGCTTCTGCCATTGCATAGCATCCTGGTACATAAGGACTCTGTGCATGCCCCTTCCATTACACTGGTTTTAAAAGGTAAAGACCAGGTCATATGCACCTTTGCAGCCCCTGCATCTAAGGACAGTGGCTAACATTCAGCAGGTGTTCAACAGCTGCTTACTGAAATGAACTGATAATGACATACTACAAAAGCCCAAAGACTGGGAGGGGCTTATGGGGGGGATACAAAGTGAAAAAAGTGTAATTAATAAAAAAAAAGTGGGGAAAAAAAAGCCCAAAAATTATCTTACTACACTAACATTTCATTTATAGCGTCATCCTAACAGGAAGAATAGTTTTGAAATATAGACAGCTTTTCCACTTTAAAAACACAGGCCAGCAAGAGTTGCACATGACGTAAAATACATCCTTTATGCCCATTCATAAAGCATTTTGAGAAATCAAGAGGTGAAAGGTGCTATGTAAATACAAAATAATATTCAAGTTCAAAGTGCTACTTCCTACAGTGATGGTGATGGAATGGCTATGCTACATTGAGAGAACACCCTCAAAGCTACTCTTCTCATCAACAAAACAGTGGACTTTTGACAAAGAGGCCATCACTTTAAAAATCTGTGTTCTGCTATGTTCCACAATAAGCCAGGTGACAGAAAATAAAATTAAGCCACTTACTCTACACAAACCAAAACTTTACCAAAGTTCTGCATTTTACAAGTTATATTCAAAAAACACACACAAATTAGCATTTTGTACACGAATGTTTATTTCTCAATTAAACATTCCCTTTAAACACAAGGAATGAATTCTAAATCTTCATAAAGATGAATAAAAAAATGATATCCCTCCAGTATAGTGTGTGTAATCACTGTGTCCTTGGTCACTACTGGCATTTACTATTTAACGTCAGAAAGAAAAGTTATTAAAAATCATGCTACTGGATTTTCTACCCCTTCTCTATGACCAGCTCTACACTGGTCTGCAATGTTTTACAAGTTTATATCATCAGATTGAAGCAAGTTTAAGGTGTGAAACAGCTGTATTAGACACAAAATAAAGTTACAAGATATAGTCAAGTTCATAACGAATATAGGTGTTCTTATCATCATTGTAGATTCTTGGGTAATGTGCTATGAGAGCGTCCTGTGAGCCAATGTAGATGGAGTTGTAAATTTTCCAATATACATCTCTGACTTTCCGAGCTGGGTGAAACAGACCCTAGAATAAATTAAAAGGTAGTTACTACTATTTATTATAAACACACACAAACATACACAACTGCAAGCTATAAAGACGTGATTACAACTATTTCATTTTAGCTGATGGAATGGCATACACCTTTAATCCCAGCATTCGGGAGGCAGAAGCAGGTGGATCTATTCCAGGAGTTCAATGCTGGCCTGGTCTACATAGGAAGTTCCAGGTCAGCCAGGGCAACATAGCCCTATATCAAAAAAAAAACATAAACACAGACACAAGTACTTCCTTTGAAGAGGAAAGAAAAAAAATCTGGAAACTGCACAAAATTGTGATGGGTAAACACAAAACCTAATTCCTACCTCAATACAGAACTGTCTCCCACATGGTAATTAGAGAGTGAATGACTCTGAATTCAACATAGTCAACTAAATTTTTTGAGCAACCCTGGGTAGAAGAAACAACAAACACACACACACCCATTTCACCTACCTGTAAGCAATACTGCAACATTCTGCACGGTCCAATGGCAACCCTCAGGCCTTCCAGAGCTCCCATGACTGCCTGGATCACGTGGGGAGAGGTCTCAAACACGTTAGGCCACACGTAGTTGAGTAAGTGATTCAGGGAGTCTTCACAGCCAAACCCATACACGCCAAGTGACATGTGCTGCACCACTGCACTAGCTGTCTGTCTGTGCACAAGGTCCCTAAAAGGGAAGGAAAAAGTCTCTGTAATTCGTCCCAATTTTGTAAGAAATATTCATCTGTACATTAGGAATTAAATTACTACTCAACATTTGACTCACGAGTCATTTTAAATTCTGCAATATTTGATAGTAAAGATACCACCACTTAAGTCAAAATTAAATCTGCTCTCAAACTGGCATCGTTTCATTCAGAATTTCAATTTCAATCTACACAAATAAGAATTTTTATCTTCTTGTGGAATCTGAATTTACGTTCATGACAAATCAATGTAATATTCACTCTGTACATATTCTAAGCACAAACATGAGATAAAATAGTGTTCATACATTTAGCCAAGAAATGAACAGCCTCTCAAAGGCGTAAGAAAAAAGATCTGACCTGTAACCAATTCACTGTCATTTAATCACCATGATAACACTATTCTTAATAAGTTTTCAAACTGAAGTATTCTTTCTTTTTAGTAATTTTCAGTTTGTTATTACCTCAACTTACACAGAACAAAATATTTCTTTTCATATTTGTTTTATATTTTATTAATTCCTCAAGAAGCGTGTATAGTGTATCTTGAGCATATTGATCCTCAAAGCACAGTGTTTTTTTTAAATACAGAACCAACAACTATTATAAACTCTAGAATTAAAAAATGAAATAGTAGCCAGGCACGGTGTACACACCTGTAATCCAAGCACTCAGACAGGCAGAGGCAGGAGGGTCTCTGTGATTTAGAGGCCAGCCTGGTCTAGAAAGCAAGTCCAGGACAGCCAGGACTACACAGAAAAAAACCTGTCTCAAAATACAAAAGCAAAAAAAAAAGGTAAAGAAAAGAAAAACTTTGAAAAATAGTTGAGATCACAATAAAGAAAGTAAAAGGTATAGGAAATTATTGTGGTGATTGATGAAAATTACAAAATGTACATCTGATAGAAGTTTGAATTTTCCGAATATAAATTTGATATATTACCTCAAGAATATAAAATTCAAATATATTTTGCAATACAGTATCCAAGGGCTTTTTTTCCCTTATGAATAAACAACCCCCAAAACAGAGAGTTTTGACAAACTTTCGATTCTATCAGTTTTATTTGTAGTCTAAATATGAAAAGACAAGTTGTGCTTACTTTTCACAAAATTCCTCCTATGCAGAACACAACTTTTAACCTCAAGTCACACCTCTCCATGATTGTAGTATCCAGGTATGCCTCACTAAAAAGCAATGTAAGTGAAAAACAAGGCAATTTTCTTCTATTTGTTAGGTTTACAGAAAGGCGACCTTCTACCAACTGTGATTACTATTCTGTCTCCATAACTTCCCATCTGTATTTTCTGGTACCACACTAAGTTAGTTTAAGTTGACCTTTATGAAGGTCACTGAGTGGCTCTGGCTACACTTAGGACTGAATCTAGGGCTTCATGCATGGTAGAAGAATTATAACCCCACCTAATTTTTTGAAGGTTGTTTTGATACACGGCAGTGTTAGTATGTTGCACAGGTTGGCACCTAGTTTTTGATCTTCGCTTCTGTGGTAGCTGAGATTACAGGCTATGTGGCCAGTTGAATACATAACTTTAAGCTGGACACAAAAGTGACCAGCCGAAAACTTATCAGCCACTGAAACTATTTGAACCTTACACTTGCCTTTATAATCCTGCCAGGTTCAATTAATTCTGTACTTCAATCTAGAGAGGAAAATGTAGCAAGACTCTTATCACATAACTCAAAAGTAATATTGAGCTAATGGCTACCATCTGAACACTGGGGGCCTGCAAAGGAAAGACTGTGACTTGGACAGGGTAGCTTCATCTTCGATACAAGATTAAAAACACCAGATCTGCTGAGGATATAGTTCATTTGTTGAGCACTGGCTTAACATGTATGGGGAGCCCTGAGGTCATACACAGTGCCAAATAAAGCCAGGCATAGTGGTACATGTCTACAATCCCTGCACTCTGAAGGTACAGGAGGAAGGGAGAAATAAAATTTAAGGTCATCTTATGTTCAGCTATATAGTAAGTTCAAAGCTACCCTGGGTTACCTGAGACCCTGTCTCAAAAACGTGACTACAGGTTTCTCTAACAAACAGTAAATCAGTTATTGCATTTCAAAATGTACTTAGCTTATTAACACATATGAAAACAGACTAACGGGGTAGGGGACTTTGAAGAAAAAACTCTGGGTAACCCATTATAACAAATATGAAGATAAAAAAATATACTTATAAAATAATCCATAGTAATATTTTTCTTCTTTATCAATATAATAGGTCATTGAAACATTATCTTAATAAACTCTAAAATGAAACATAACTATTCCAAGGGAGGAGCAGTCCTGTTAGGCCACAGAGGAGAGCTTTGCAGCCAGTCCTGAAGATACCTGATAAAACAGGATCAGATGAATGAGGAGGAGGTCCCCCCCCATCAGTGGACTTGGAAAGGGGCACGGTGGAGATGAGGGAGGGAGGGTGGAATTGGGAGGGAATGAGGGAGCGGGAAACAGCTGGGATACAGAGTTAATAAAATGTAACTGATAAGAAAAAAATAAAATTAAAAAAAAAAGAAACACAACTATTAATTATTTTTCTGCATTTAGTTTTAGTCACTTACCTATCCATTAATGCATCCTCAAGCAAGGGCGTCACAGCATAGATATAGTCTTTTCCCATTTCACCGATATACTCAAACAAGAAGGAGAGTGACTTCAAAACCCCATTTTGAACGTTAAGTTCAGGAACTCTGTATTCATTCATTAAGGCAGGGAGTACTGTGAAGGGTGAGCATGTTTCAGCAACAATGGCTATTGCTACAGTTGTACAAACCCTGTTCTGCCTTTCCTGAACTTTGAGGTTGTTTAAAAGCGTAGCCAGTACATCATGTGGGCTAAAAAGAAAGAAGAAATATGTCAGCAAGTTGTTGTACTTGTTAAACTTGTTCTCAGAGAAAAAAACTGCAAAAAAAAAAAAAAAAAAAAAATGCAGTAACATTAGTAACATTCTGATAAAATTCAGTACTCTCATCACTAGGATTGTGGTTTTACTTACGAGCTTCATACAAGGAAGAAGGAAATTAAAATAAATAAAAATTGTTTAAAAAAAGGTTTTAAAAGCGTCAAATTGTCACATTTTTCTTAATGTTAGTTCAGGTAGACGCATTTTCAAATATCTCTCTAACGTTTAGCAAATGAAGTATGTAAAAGCTTGGTACGAAGCAGCCAGAGCTAGGTTGGGTTACCCTGCTAAAGAAAAACATGGTAACAGGGATAATGGGGAAGATAAGGAATTCCTTGAGATTTTATGTGTTTGAGCATGGGAGTCCAGAGTTTTTGGGTAGTCTTGTATCTATAAGGCTGCCTGGCTCTTGAAACCAGTTAGACCATTTAAATTACTTGATATTTCAAGCAGTTTAAAGAGTAAAAAATTATACTTTTTATATGTATGAGTGTTTTGCTGGCATGTATCTGTGCACTGCATGTGTTCAGTGCCTGCAGAGGGTGTCAGATCCCTGCCATTGGACTTACAGTCACAGGAGGTGAGTCATGTGGGTGCTAGGAATCAAAACTGGCTCTTCTCTAACAGCGGCCAGTGCTCTTCACTGCTGAGCTATCTTTCCAGCCCAGAGAAGCTTCTTTTTATTTTTAGGAGCAATTAAAACAGAGGCCCACAATTTGACAATGTGTGAAGACTGAAAGACTGTAAAATACTAATCCCTTGATATTTTAAGCAATGTTTTAGCCAGGTGTGGTGGCACACAATCTCAATACACTTTTAATCGCAGCACTGGGGAGGTAGAGGCAGGCAGATCTCTGTAAGTTTAAGACTAGCCTGGTCTACACAGCAAGTTCCAGGACTACATAAAGTGATTCTGTCTCAAAAACAAAAACAAAAAACAAAAAAACAAAAACAAAAAACACAACACCTTCTGAATGTACCCTGAAAATGGTACATTCTCTGAAAATATGTATATTTCAGTAGGGAAAAATTTAAAGTCTCCTACCTGTCTTAGTTCAATGAAAAGTTTAAGGAAATATTTTAAAACAGATAAAGGCAGGCCAGTGGTTAAATGAAATGCTTTTTCTGCAAATGATTAACTCTATGACTCAAAAGATATGCCTACATGAAAGTACTTTCCAAGACAATGGGTTTGTTACAACCTACTAAAAAAATACTCACCCAATGGCCTTTGCGATATAACCAAACGTGTTGACAGTAGCTCTTCGAATAGCTTTTTTGTGAGCTTTTAGGAGCTCTAAAAGCTCAAAGCAAATCCTCATCCACTCTCTTGCAGATACATATTCAGCACCCCTAATTAAAAAAATGAAATAACATTGTTGTGTTAAGGTGTTTTGATATTTTTTGGTTTTGTTTCTGTAGTGCTGGGATGAAGCCTAGGGCTTCATGCATGCCAAATAAGGGTTCCAGCACTGATCTATAACCCTTACTCTCACGAAAGTTTAAAAAGTGAATGTGCACATCCAGTTCTGAAATCCCCACTAACTCATCTTAATTATTAAATGGAAACTAGCATCACTCTTCTTAAAAGCCTGGCTTTGTTAAATGGTGGTGTACACCTTTAATCCCAACGTTCAGGAGGCAGATTTAAGTTTAAAAGTCTCTGGTCTATAAAGTGAGTTTCCAGGACAGCCAAGTGTACAGTCAGATCTTATCTCAAAAAAAAAAAAAGGGAAAAAAAAAAAAAAGCCTGGCTTAGTTTTTAAACTTACATTGATTAGCCAAGCTGTGGTAGCACACGCCTTTAATCCCAGCATTTGGGAGGCAGAGCCAGGTGGGTCTCAGAGCTTGAAGCCAGCCTGGTGCCAGAACAGCCAGGGCTGCTACACAGAGAAAACATGTCTTGGGGGGAGGGGGGGCACAAAAACAAAAACACTACACTGTTACTTCTTATAACCAGCCAAACTGAAAATAGTCACCTTGAATAACCGGACCATATATACTTAGGTTAGCAACTCCAAGCAAAACTTGCTACTGAATACAAATTTATTAAATCTAAATATATATATATATATATATATATATATATACACACTGCCTATGAGAATGTTTAAGAAATCTACTTGAAGTAAATTATGAAAATGCTGCTACACAATCTGCTTACCTGTCAGCAATACGTCCAACAAGATCGATACAATTTTCTTGTACTTTTTCATGCCTGTTCTTTAAGATAGGAGTGAGTCTAGGCAGGAGATCTTTTATTGGTGGTGTCATCTTATGCATACCTATTTGACAGAAATCAAAGAAACTATTAAAACTTGAACTGCAATCTCTTTCATTTTTCCTTTTACTGTACAATGCAATATTATGCACAAACATAAATTTATACCTATGGATAAAAGCCCCAATTAGACTTAGAATTTTTAAACTATTAACAGCTTCTAATTACATTTAAAACTAAATGAAAACCAGTGAAAGGATTTTAAAAATGAAGTAACAAGTTTTTATTCGGTTTTGAAATGTTATTTGAACACTGACATTTAAATACAGGGACAGCCTATATCATGGCCAAATACAATATAAGCCAAAGGTAGACGTGTAAACCCAGTCAGGGTGCCCATATCCTTTAAGTGCAAAATAAAACACATCTCCAGGCTCCCTGAAGGCAGGGTATACCTGGATGTTACCTAAACCTATAAAGCAGCTAGCAGGGGCTCTTGCTTCAATTAGAATTACTTGCTCTGATTCTCCATTGCTTTTCTCATGTTTGCCAGACAAACAATATGGTTTAAAACTTCCTGAAAAACCAGAGACTCACAGGTGGCTAAACGACTGCTAGCAAGTCATTATCATTACAGTATTCAAGTCTGGGCTAAACTGGCGACTATATGTGAACGCATCAGTTCAAAAATCTATACTGCATAATACTCCTTTCCCCTTTCCACATTTTCAGTCTTTCTTTCAAAATGGGAAAAACAATGGTTATTAACAGCCAGGTGTATGAACTACTGGCCTTTTCAAAATTCTTTCAGTCCTAAAGAAGCTATTTTCAACACTATGTTGACATACAATGAGATTTTTAAACACAGGAATCTCTTTGTTTGCTTTAAAAATTTTTTTTCTCCATACCCAAGATTATTACATATTTACATTTTTACTTATGGATAAAAGACAGGATAGACAGTTTTTTCACCTAGTCATCTTCTTTGAACCCAGGGCACACAAAAATATCTTAACAACCAGTCCAAACACCTTACTACAGAAGATTGACTAGATGAAGAAAATTTCTAAAACTGAATTACCTCTTCAGCGTTGTCCCTCCCACTTATAGAAGATGCTAGATTATTTCTCAGCTGATACACTAGTTCTATTATGGCCCTCTCTTCCCATTAACTCAAAACATTTTGAGCTGTAACTATTTCCAGATTTTGTATGTCCTAAATTTCCCCTTTAACATTTTTAAATTAAAATATAAATAGACAATAGTGAAAAAAGACGAGACATTTTGACAATCCTGAAAGGCTCAAGAAAAGGAAAAAAAAAAAAATCTACAAACTCCTAATTACAACTTTCTATTTTGCTTTAAAATACAAAGAAAATTAAAAGGCCAAATTGTCACATGACTAGCAAATTCCATACCTATTACATTTACAATAGCTTTTAGCGCTCCAAGAATGCTACCCAGTACTTCAGGGTACTCTTCACCCAAGTATTCATACAGCACCACACCCAAGTGCCCCATCAGTTTTTCCTATAACAAAAGAGATGTTACAAGTGTTAGTTTTCCATTAAGCTACCTGATACAATAATATACATCTGGTAGAATAAATAGATTACCTCTTGACAGGTCTTCATAACAACAGCAGTTCGAGAAATCAAGTCGGCTGCTTGCTGCCTAACTTTAGCTGATTTGTTATTTAAACGCCATAAAACTGTACCACAGATCTGGGGCAAGTACGGTTTGACTCGTTTGCCAAGAGCATTAACTACTGTGCCAAAGCCATTCAACATTACTGAATCCTAAAAGAGAAACGTTGCACTTAAATAAAGAAAAAAAACCAAAACACTAAAAATACAGCATTTAGTTCTGACTGAAAGCTGACTATTAAGCCAATAATCAGCTAAATATTAAGCCAATATTTTTCTAACCACACAAACACCTCATTTGTTTTTAAATCAAATAAAACCTGAGGTAAAAGAACATTTGCTAAACTGAGTAAAAAAGGTATTTAAAATGTCTTTTAAGAAATATCTCCTTTAAAAATAAATTTTCTACATATATGAAAGTCAATGACAATGTGCCATAATAATTAGTCGTGACGGGCTAGGGTGATGGCTCAGCAGGTAAATTGTCTATTTCCTGGCCTGATGCCCAGAATTTGATCCCCAGGAAACAAATGGTTAAAGGACAATTGATCCCTAAAATACCCTCTAATATTCACCCATACACATAATTATAAATTTTAAAAACCAGAAATAAATTATTAGTTGCCCTTACCTCCGTAGTCTGTTCTTGGAAAGCATAAAGAATACCATCAATCAGTTGTTCTTCAAGTTTGTGATCAATATCTGCTGCACCTAGGTTGCCCATAATTTTCTCAATTGTTTCCATCACCATTTTCCTGTACTGTTCAGCTTCATCTTTCAGGTCATCCACAATCCGAGATATAATTTCTGCTGCACCTACTTTGTTTGCCAACTCTACAGTCGTATCAACTAACTAAAAAGAGAGAATAAAAACACCTTTTAAATCTATTACTTTTCTAAGGAAATAAAACTTAATATTAATTTTCAAAGTGAGAACAGCTAGATATGGTAGCTCAGGCCTACTATCCCAGCACTCAAAAGGCTGAGTCAAGTCTTTCAAGTTCAGTGTCAGTCTGGCTATATATAGCAAGGTCTAGCCATTCCAAGAAACATAAAATCCTATTTCTGAAACAAAAACAATTCTCAGTAAAATTATACCTATTTTCAGCTAGCTAAAGAAAGCCTCAACTTATCAGACAAAAACATCAACTCACAGTACTGCCAAGCTGGGAGGCTGAAGCAGAACAACCAAGAATTTGAGAGCAGCCTGGGCTACAAAGTAAAATTTTGTCTTAAAAAAGGTAAGGGATTATAGAGAGGTTTCAATAAGTAAATGGCCAACAAATCTGACAACCTGAGTTTGATCCCCATGATCTACCTGAAAGAGCAATTCCTAACTGCTGTTCTCTGACCTCCATACATGCATGCACTGGGGTACATGCACACACCAAATAAGAATAAGTTAAACACACATACACACACACACAGAAACATACACAGGGAAAAAGAGAATCTTTCTGTTAATTTCTCACACAGACACATAGGGAGAAACTTTTTGTTTATAACAGACACAGACTAGACAGACAGAGACAAACAAAGACACAGACACAGACACAGACACACACACACACACACACACACACGGTGAGGGGGGAAGTGTTTTGTTAATGGCCCAGGGACTGGACAAATGGGTCTGCAGTTAAAAGAACTGGCTATTCTTCTGAAGGACCAAGTTTCCCAGTACCCATATGGCACAATGTCTGTAACTCTAATACCAAGAGATTTGGCTCACAACTGTCTGTAAATCCAATACCAGAAGATCCTAAGACCAAACGGTACACAGAAATACATGTAGGCAAAACACCCATACACTACAAGTGAGCTTTAAATGTACCGGTTTCAAAGAAATTTCACATTAAATGCATGCTTTTTGTTTTGTTGTTTTTTGAGACAAGGTTCTCTTGTGTAGCCTTGGCTGTCCTGGACTCACTTTGTAGACCAAGCTAGCCTCGAATTCACAACAGAGATCCGCCTGACTCTGCCTCCCATAGTGCTGGGATTACAGGCGTGTACTACTATGCCAGGCTTAAATGCATGCTTTTCAAAAGAAAAACACAAAAGAGGCCAGGTAGAGCACACCTTTAAGCCCAGCACTTGGAGGCAGAAGTTAAGTTTGAGGTCTACATAGTGATTTACAGGCTACACGGTGAGACCCTATCTCAAAAAAGAAAAAAATAAACAGTAGAATACATACAAGTCAAAGCAAACTGTAGTATGTAATATGCATTCTAAGTAAGTAATTAGTCAAAAATATTTATAAGAATCAAATTTTAACAATAAAAGGTCACCTGTCGGTAATTTCTTCTGTCCAAAGCCATTCTGTGTTGCCAGAAGTGTTTAAAGAAAGGAGGAAGAATCTCTGTTTTAATGTAGTTTGCTTCCACACCATCTGTTCCACAACATTGTTTCACCACCTAAAATGTTAAAAAAAAAAAAAAAAATAAACCAAAAACACTGATGGAACAACATAGTTTTAATTTGTTTTTAATGTTATAAAGATCTCTTTGAACTTCCTAAACATGCACAGTACGCTGACAAACATGTTCCCACAAACTGCAACAACAAATTACCTTCAAAACAATTTTCTTCATTTCTTCATCAGGAGACTGGAATTCTCGAATAAGGATTAACATCACTTCTCTAGTATAGTAGTTGGCATATTCTGCATCCATAAGGGGAATAAGATACCCAATAGCCTTTAAGAAAGCGGCCAGACCCTATTAAAATTAAAAGTAAACACATACATGTCAGTAATTTGGACTGCCTTAATGATCAACAACAAAAACAGACCTAATGAGGAGATTCACCTTTCCTCTGTGTTGGCGGATACCCTTCCACAGGGGCTTGAGCACAGAATCAAAAGATTCAATACCATAAGGAGTTGCTGCTTCAGCCAAAGCAGCAATGGCCAAAGCACTGATGGTACGAACTTTCTGCTGTTCATCCACAAGACCTATACAATCAGACACAAGTGTGAGTTAGCATCAATACCTAATTTTCATTTCAAATACAATCCAAGGTTTAGCAATATATCTAGCCATGTATCCAAACTGTAAGAATTTCACAGTACATAAAGGTTATGCAAAAGCAGTTTGCTAACAGAAAATATTACAAACCCATCTCAAAATATAACCTATTTGTGTAGGGAAACCATTGTTTATTTACCTCCCCCCAACACCACCCCAAATCAGTAACCAAAAATTCAGATCAACTGATCTATAAAAGATACATCCCCACTTACCATGTTCAATGATTTCAACTAAACTTCTGAGATGTGGCAAGATAGCACAGCCCATGAGAATAGCTATCTGTTGTACAATCTTAATACCAGTGTGCCTCGCTTGCCAAGACTTTTTGCTTTTACACACAGCTTTTAAGAAGGGCAATAAAGAAGGAATGCCCAGAGCAGAGGCTACGACAGCAAAAGCTCTAGCTGTTGTGTTTCGGACATATTCATCCATGTTATCTATATCAGGTCTCATGGTAGAAATCATAGTGGCCAGACCAGCAGCCTAAGGAAAAAGTTACAAGAACAGCTTAGTTTTAATACCATTAATCATCAACCCATTAAAAGACAAATTTCCTTTTCTAGGAATTTAATGTGAATACCTTTGCTAAATTGGAAATAATTTCTCGGCCTTCCACTCTAGCATAGTAATCTTCATCAATTAACAGTGGCTCGATAACCACAAGAATCTAAAAGACAAAAAACAAACAAACCCAAAGGAATTACATTTCCATATCAATTTACAATTATCAAAGTCCTTTTTTAATCGGGTGTAACTGATTTTAATTCCCAGGAGTGGTGGTGCATGCATTTCATTAATCCTAGCACTTGGCAGGCAGAGGCTAACCTGGTCTATAGAGCTTCAGGAACAACCAAGGCTACAAAGAGAAACCTTGTCAGGAGAATTGTTTTTTGTTTTGTTTGTTTTTTTTTTTTTTAGTTTCTCAACTTCTATACTGTCAAGCCCTAGATATAGATGAAAATTAAATGTAAACTAACATTTAAAAATACATAAGCACTGTCATAATAGCTAGCATCAAAAGATAATTCTTTATTCTATAATAAAATAGCTATTCTCATTCTGTCAATAAAAGCAACTGGAAAAATAACCCATAAGAGTAAAGAAGCAAAAGAAAAATGTACATATACCTATGCTATATATGTGATGTTTGCTTTGTAGTTGTAATGTTAATTGGCCATAATCTTGAACCACCTAAGAAATGAGCCTCTGGGCATACAAAGACCCACCTAAACTGTGGACAAGACCATTGCCTGAACAAAGCAAAAATAAATTTAAATAAATTTAAAAAATAATAAATAATAAAACATAATTTCAAAAAAGAAAAAAAGAACCTTCCAGACAGTGGAAAATAGAACCAAAAAAATAAAAAATAAAAATAAAGCCATTAAACAAACCAACCTTGTGCACATATGGTCGTACTAAGTCATCAAGTTTATACAATATTCTATCAATAACTTTCACAAGTAAATGTCGCTCTTGATCCTCAAGTGTAGGCGACATCAACAGTGGAAGAATCTGGTTAAACAAAGGTCCAGCTCCAAATTCTCGAGCTTTATCAGTAATCTGACGTAAGGCAGCCTGAGGAAAAAGAAAATAGTTATTTTTTTTTTTATATGAGCAAGCATTCTAAAGGGACCAATTTCACTGGGAATAACACTGTGACATATACTTTTGCAGACAATTTACATACAGTAGAATGAATTGATTCCTGTTAAAATTGTTTTAATGTTCAAACTCATGTATCTCAAGTTCAATGTTATCAGCTCATTTAAAAAGGTAATTTAATCAGTGGCAGGCCTGAGAGGTAAAGGTGCTTATTACCAAACCTAATGACCTCGTTCCAACTCTGAGATCCAGACAATGGAAGGAGAACCAATTTTCAAAAGCGGTACTCTGATCTTCATGTCTGTCCTGGGACATGACCTGCCTACCTACTTGCACACATACCCACACACCATGCGTACACGCACGCACACACGCGCTCGCGCACACACAGGCATTCATACACTAAATAGATGACAGAACGATGGATGGATGGATGGATGGATGGATGGATGGATGGATGGATGGATGGATGGTTGGGTGAATGGATGGGTGGGTGACTGAGTGAGTGAAGTGAGCGTAAAAGAAAAAAGGTTAATTTTAAGGGCTATCGAGATTCTTCAGAGAGCTAAGGGGCACCAAGCCTGGGAATCACCTGAACTCAATCCTCAGAATCCACACAGTAAAAGGAAAGAACTGATTCCTTTAAGCTATCCCAACCTCCATGTATGCTGCATATACAAATGCCCATAAATAAGGTGTTCTTAAAATTTTTAGAAAGATAACTCAGTAGAGCTATAGAACCACACAAGTTTAAACCATATGCCTTACTTAGTTCTGTCTAAACAACCTTCTATGTTTAAGTCACATTTGATATAACAAGTTCCCCTAAGTTCTAAACACTTTAAAGCTGTCAAGGACAAAAAGAATTTAACCTTCTCATATCCTTATCAGAACAAAATCCTTTGATAAGAAGAATTAAATTAACTGAGCCTGGAAGGTAAATCTGTAATCCCAAGCAGCTATTCCAGAATCAGAGGATCCAAAGCTCAAGGCCTGCCTGAGGAAGCTTAAGGCCACTCTAAGCAACTTATCAGAGACCATATAAACAAAAAAAAAAAAAAAAAAAAAAACAACCAGAGCTGAGTGTCATGTCTTATTCTGTTAATTTCACTACTCGGGTAACTAGACAAAAAGAACTGCTATCAGTCTAAATCTACCCTGAGCTATGAGTTTCAGGCCAGCCTGGGATACAGTTTAAGCACTGTCTCACAACAAACAAAAATAATGAATGTAATAATTCTAAAAACTAGAACTAGGAATCAGATGTGATACATACCTTCATTATTTATTATTAAAGGTGGCATACACTGTTAAGGTTATTTTTATAAAACTGTGCTTGCTTCTCAGCTTCTCTCTTAACCCAGCTATCACAACTAATTGAGACTCTTATATGTTTAATAGTAAGCTTCACAGCACAAAAACTGCGCTAATTTGGCTTCCTCCCAGCATACAACCCAGAGATACTTGCACTTTGTAACTTTCCTGCTCCAGCTTCTTCTCCTGGTCCTCTCCTGGACATCTGCCCACAGCTGAACCCCCTACTTCCTCTTCTCTAACTCCTCCCCTGACTGGCAGGAAGTCTAGCCCTATTCTATCCCCTGCTTGGCGACTGGCTGTAAGCTGCTTTACTGGCATACCAGGGGACAAATGGGGAACAGTGTTAGCACAACAATGAGACGGGAGGTTCTCAGAACAAGGCTTGCAATCAGACATGGGGAGGTCCAGAAACTAACATTTGAACTGCACAGTAACGTTATGCCTATACCTTTAATTGCAGCACTTAGGAGCCAAAGAGAGGCGGCTCTCTGTAGGTTCCGGGCCAACTCACTGGTCTACCCAGCGAGCTCCACGGCAACCAGGACTATGCAAAGACCCTGTCTCAGACAAACTACCACCACCACAACTAGAACTTACCTTTCTCAAAAAAAAAAAAAAAAAAAAAGAAAAAGAACTTACCTTTCTCATTGGAGGTGTACCATTCTTAATTTTTAAAAGCAACTTCATTATTTTTCTCTCTTTTTGCTCTTCTGGACTAAGTGTTGATTCATCAACATCAACCTACAATTAAATTTCAAAGTAGATCAAGTTAGTGATTTGTAACTCCCAAAGAACAATACTTCATTTTTGCTATCATTCATTTTTGCTATCATCACTTACCAACAGTTTATCAAAGTACTGAATGTCGTCAGGTTTTAAAAATGGAAGGTTCCCAGATGGCTGGTCATTAACACTTTTCATAGTTCTATCTTCAGTCTGCATGTGGAAACCAGTCATACCGCCCAAAGGTGTCGGAGTTGCTGTCAGCTTTCGAGCCGGAGTTCTAATAGGAACATAACCAGCTGGAGGGGGAAGTACCTGTGAGAGTTATAAAGACTTTTAGTAGGCCTGCCTTGACTTCTACTCTGAAACACAACACAGTGAGGACCATTTGCACTTAAACAGATTTTACAACTTTAGCTAGCAAGTTTATTTATCTGAAGAAAACATACCCCACTGTGCAATGTTAACTAAAAACTAAGATATTTATGAAAAACATTTATATTTCTAATTTGCTAATTAAAATTTAAGTAGAAAAGAAAATACATGAAGCACTCTTTAAAAGTTCTGGTCACCTTTAAACATTAACATGCTTTAAATATCAACATGTTTTCAAGCCAACATGTCAAATTAACAAAATTTTAAAATTATAAAACCTAAGTCAGTGATATCCCAAAGGCACTGTTAGAGGAAATATTTATAAATAATTATTTAAATGGAAATAAACATGGTTTATGTAATAGACTAAAAGGTCATGCATATTTTAGTAATAAAATATCATTCACATAAACACAATACTATAAAAATATATTCAGATTGAACTTAAATATCAAAATAAAACTATTTGCCAAGATCCTCTGAAAGAAATGCCAAATTAAATCTACTGCAAAACCAACAAAATGTCTAAAAATATTAATAAAAAACAGTAACATTTGTTTTTTAAAGCTATAAGATTCTTGTTGTTGTTGATAATTCTACTTTCCGTTCCACAAGCCTAACACAGACCCTCTCCAAATAGCCTTAGTTATCATAACTAAAAGAGACTAAAAGTGAAGTCAAGTTAAATATATCCGATGTCATTCGTTTTTGCTGCTAGTCAACACATGTGTACCACAGACCACTGACTGAAAGTAGAATTTATTTGTTGAGTCTTACAGTATGTCAAATCCATAGCTGTCACTGTAAATTTAGGACCTAAAGGTGTATTTAAGATTTAATTATTAGACTCACAAAGTGTCCCTCCTATTAGTATTAAGGAAGCCAAAGAGTATAACTGAAAAGAGACTTAAGCAATCAACATAGATTGTCAACATGCAAAGCATTACAAAAAGGCTACAAGGTAGTTTTGGTTTTTAAAGTTTTATCAATTAATTGTGGTTATAAAAATGAAACTCAGAACCTTACCTCCTAGGCAAATACACTAAGCAATATGACATGTTCATCTGAAGCAAATGCTCTAACACAAGCCTAAATGAATGGCAGCAGCACACACACCCTGCACACTGTTCTGACAAGAGTTAACACCAGAAAGGCTCTCTACAGGCCCTTCATTATGGGCTATGGTCTTGACGCTGACTCCAACTACCATCACAAACAGCTCTTTGCCAACACATAATGACAGGTACTTGGAAAATTTTATAGATTAAAATAAATTTCAATAAACCTGAGCTACAGAGTGAGGTCCTATTGTAAAATAGAACAAAAAAATAAATTTGAAGTTACTGCTGGAAAGAAAACATGCCATTTAGAGAAAGTTTTACTAAGCTAGCAAATAAACCAGAATGTTATCTAAGTTCAGTCCTACAAAACTAATCAGAGCTTCTCAAAACACTATCTGTGGACCTCCAGACATCCTGAGATTACTCACTGAAAAAGTAATAAAAGCCAAGAGTGGTGGCATTCCCTTTAGACAGATCTTTGAAAATTAAAGGTCACCTGGTCTATATCTTGAGTTCTGGATCAGCCATGGCTACATAGTAAAACACTGTCTCAAAAAATAATATAGTTTTCTGAAAGCAGGTACTAGAGAACTGTCTCCGTGACTTGGAGCATTTGCACCTCAAATCATGACGACTAGAGTTCAGAACCCAAAACCCACATCAAGCAGCTCATAAATCCCTGTAATTCCAGTGGAGAAATTACACTGGCTTCTGCAGACACCTGCACTCATATGCACATACTCACACATACAATTAAAAATACTTTCTTAAATAATTTTTAAGATTATGTATATAAGTATGACTACATTATGTTTGTAAACTTGAGTACAGTGCTTGAAAGGCCAAAGATGCTGGGTTCTCAGGAGATGGTTACAGGTGATTGTGAGGCCCTTGAGTGGATACTGGAAACTGAACTCCAGTTCCTTGTAGGGGCAATGCATGCTCTTATCCACTGAGCCATTTCTCCAGCCCCCAAAATAAAACATTTTGAAGGGGGAGGGGTTTGAGACAGGGTATCTACTACATAACTGGCCTGGAACTTGTTATCTGGACCACACTGGCCTCAAACTCAAGAGATTGGCCTACCTCTCTGGCTCCCAGCGATCACTAGGACTAAAGGGAAGTTCCACCCTAGCCAACAAAATAATAAAACTCCATGTTACTTATTTCATCTCTATTACTTTTCAAACTAAACTGTACTTAGTAGTACCTAAAAAAGTGAAATTAGTAAATTTGAGCAAGACCAATGCAAATTTTCCAGGCAATTTTTTTTTTCAAACTAAATGCTTAAAACTCATGTAACAAATATAACATATCTACCATATATTCACTGCTTGTACCTTGTATCCTTCTGGGAACATAGCATCTAATTCTTCATCAGAAAGTGGGCGGTTTCGCTCATCAATTTCCCTCTCCCACCTCCAAGCCTGAAGCTGTTCAGGAGTCATGCTCATTATATGACCTATCAAAAAAGCAAAATTGTTAAAGATCTGCTTCATCACTAAGTAAGATCAGCCCTAGCATCTGACTGGTTTTATATTACAAATGCAAATCAAGACATTTTATATTCTTATTCTCATTCTTAATAGAAAAGCTAACATTAATGGTACCCAGAAAAACAAGCAAAACAAACAAACAAAAATCCTAAAATAGATATAGAGAAAAAATAATTAAAGAGTTTCTACCTGGAGTGGGGGTAGCCATATTCATCGCTGGTGTGCCAATTGGTGTTTTTCCTGGTGTCAAAACAGGAGTGCTTCCACCCATTTGACTAGCCGGTGTTTCATCCCAACGAGACTTTCTTTTACTTGCTCCAGGAGTTGGTGTTTCACCAATAGAGTCTCCACCTCGATCTGTTCGAGGAGTCTCAGCCCATCCACTTCCATGCCCAGGAGTATCTTCAAAGACAAAGGGCAGCACAACCACACTGTTAAACACTTTTAAAACACCACTTCCCCCACATTCAATTTGATTCAGTGCAAAAGAAGGTATTTCAAAAACAAGATACAGTTAAAATTTTGTTCAGTAGCTTTGTGTTTCCTTTCCACTGACTACCAAGGCAGATATAACAACTTACTAAGAAAAAGAAAAACAAAAATTTTTTACTCCACTTTATCACTATGTAGAGCGATCGATCCACTGTTTATCTTGAGCCATGTTCCAGCTATTCTCACTATACATCAAACACTAGATTTAGGCAAATTTCTGAGACAACATAAAATACAGGATGCTAGAAGGCAGAAGGTGGTAAAGAAAGGAAAAACATTAAGGAATGCAGTTTTTAGGTCACTGAAAAAAATATAGATGTAAGTAACAGTCACAGTTGCGCAACACTGATGAGTATGCTTAAAGCCACTAAGTTGTGTATTTATTTTTAAAAAGTGGTTAAAACTTGTATATTTAAATACACACATTATACACAGGAGGCTGGGTCAGTCAAGGCTATTGAGAGAGTATCCAAAACATTTTTTAAAATTAAAAAAAGAAAAGCCCATAAAATTATGATCTTTTTACATCTTAAAACATCAAACTTATCTTCTCTCAGTTATTCCTAGAATCTTCAGCCTCTTCAAAAACAGGGAAAAAACTAAGTGCTCCATTCACTAGGCTCTATTTTTTATTTCAATCAAAGTTGAAGTGTGTTGCTTTTATTTATTTACTGTGTGGTGTTGGGAAGTACGTGCCATGGTGCACATATAAAGATCAGGTTGCCGGTGGAGTGGGAATCTCCTTCTGCCATGTGGTTCCCAGGGATCAGACCATCTTCCAGCTTGGTTAACAGCAAGAGCCTTTACCACTGAGCCATATCACCAACCCAAAACCAAAGGTTATTAAGAAAAGGTTTTAATAGACTTAAGCTTGGGCACGGAGTCAAACAGTAAGAAAAAAAGTTTTACACACTTGGTGGTTCAGTCTTCTCAAGAGAGTCGACCTGCTCCATCTCCACAGTAGCTGGTCATTACAAAGAAATGTCTACTACATATTTACACTAGAAAGTACAGCCTGAAACACAACGTCCAAGTCAACACCTCATCCAAACACTCATCTGCACTCTACTGAAAGTACCTACCTCTTTCTGTTTTGGGGGTCTCATCCCATCTGTTTTTACGAGCACTGGAAGTCGCACCCCCGTGGCCTGGGGTTGCATGGCCTGGCGTATCACCTCGACCAGGAGTAGCAGCTCCAGCAGGTGTGTGACTAGGTGTAGGATCCCATATCTTTGAGCCTGGGGTTGCTCCAGGAGTTTCACTTCCTTTTGCACGACCTGGTGTCTCATCCCATCTTAAAGAAGGGGTATGTCCCGGTGTCTTAACAAAGCGAAAGAAATTTATTTCACAAACCTATATACCTTAGAGAAATAACCACAAACTTCTGTTAAACAAAAACTAATAAATGCATTTTTTAGTTTAAGTTTAGAGTACTATTTTGCTTACTGTCTTGCATATCCGTATGATCAAAACTAATTTAGTTTTCATTTAGAACAATGCAAAAAGCCTCAAATTAAAAACATAAAACATGAGGCTGGAGAGATGGTTTAACAGTTAAGAGCACTGGCTCCTCTTCCAAAGGACCCCATTCAATTCCCAGCACCCACACAGTGGCTCACAATTCTCCCTAACTCCAGGGCATTCAAAATACTCACACAGACATAGATGCAGACAAAACACAAATACACATAAAAATAAATAAAACATTTTAAAAAGCACAAAACACATTCAGGTTTATAAACCTCTGTGAATATATATGTATTGGTAATTTACTGCTTAAGCTTGTAAAAGCTGACTCTGAAGGAGGGGTAGCCAACCCCCATTTCAGACCCAAGCAAGTGTGTCTCAAACTCTTTCCAATACACATATCCTGGCTGAGTCTGACTCCCTCTTTCTATAACAGGAAGAAAGAATAGCAAAAGAGCCCAAACTATTCTTGAAAACAGCTATAAACTATTTCCAGCAAACATCACCTGATGTTTACCCCATGATAAAAGTGTCTGCACTGCAACAGGAAAAGCAGCTCATTTATGGGAAGAAAGCAAGAACTGGGCTACCTTAAACATTAACCCAGTAAATGTTTGGTGGGTGTTGGTATGCCCTTGATTGATGCTACTTTTGTTTGTTCTTTTCCCCAGGTTACTATAACTATCTCTGTTTGATGTTGTGAAACACTGATTCAATAATTTATTCATCTGCTGCACCTATCTACTATTTGCTATTGTTCTTTATGACTTCTCTTTTTTAAAAATTATTGTAAAAAAAAAAAAACTTGCAAATTAAAAAAAAAAAAAACATCAAAATTAACCAGACCTAAAGTCTACACAGTTCAATGAACTTCTATACAGTTAGAATAGCCATTTAGAATAGAAGCTGTGTAGCTTTCTTTTACTCTTACAAAAGTATCTTGAAATACACTACTAAAAACTGTGAGTTTAAGAAATTCACGAAGGTTTTTCTGCGTGCATCTCCAACGCAAGACTTTCAGCTCTAAAACTACTGCTTCCCAAACTGGATCTCTGAGACACAGAACCTCTGGGTAAGAAGAAATCCACATATTTTAAGAAATACTTTTTAAAGCCTGTTATAAGCCAGAGAAAAGTGAGTCTCTTTGAGCCAGTTCAAAGCCAATCTGGTTTACATAGTGAATTTCAGGTAACCCAGAGCTACATAGTGAGACCGCATGTTTAAAAAGAGAGATTATATTTACTTGTGTGTATGTGTGTGAGTACACACATGTCATTGAGCAAGTATGGAGCTCAGAGTATAATCCATCAGAATGTGCTGTCTCTTTGCATCATGTGAATCCTATGTATGGAACTCAGACTATCAGACTTGGCAGCAAATGCATTTTCCTACTGTGATGCTCCCAATATCAGTGGGATGAGTAAGATTAGAAGGTAATAATATTAAATAATATCCAAGAATGCAGATTAGTTCAAAATGTATCGTGTCTTGACAGTGGCAGGAGGGTGGCGGTGGGTTATGTTTTATTTTTCTGAGACAAGGTAGCCCAGAAACTGTCTTATAATTCATAATCCTGCCTCACTCTGCCCATGTGGGATTACAAGTGTATACACCACACTCAGCTAATAAAGAATGTTATTCGTGATGGAAAACACTCTGGATTAAGTAAATAATGAAAATGAATTCTTCAAGCTTTTTGCTTTTCCTATGCCAAAAAAAAAAAAAAAAGGAATATGAATCTTCCTGTTATGCATTTTAATTTCCATAACTGAGCAGAAGCAAGGTAGGTCTAAGTCACACCAGCTTTTATAGAAACATATAAACTCAGCTAAGAAGGCTCAGCAGTTGAGAGCATTTAACTGCTCTTGCTGGGAACCTCAGTTCGGTTCCTAACATACACAGCGGTGGCTCACAAGAACCTGTAACGCCAATCCCAAAGAGACTTGACACCCTCTCCTGAACTCCATGCACAGCTGCACACATGTGGTGTACATTCAGACATATATGTAACCAAAAGTAAATCAATCTTTTAAGAAAAATAAACTCCTCTATCTAGTTACAAGCTACAGCTAAGCCGTTCTGAGTAGAGCAGGTTTCTCTCAGCTTTAAAAACGTGGCTCTGGGCTAGGCATCTTGTCTGGGGCACAAGACTCTAATCTCAGGACTCAGGAAATAGAGACAGTAGAATCTCTGAGTCTGAGGCCAGCCTGGTCTACATAGCTAGATCCAGGCCAACCAAGGATAGATATATAGTGAAATCTTCTCTTTTAAGAGATGATCCACGTTCAGTTCCCAGAACTCACATCAGAGCTACAAACAAAAACCCTGTTTTGAAGAAAAAGGAAAAAAAAAAAAAAAAAAAAAGAGCTAGTTCAAGAGTGTATAAGCTAGCCAAGAATATAGTAAAGTTACCCAATTACCAACTGTGGTCAAAGAAAATAAGGAAGACTACTACGTTTTACTCTACAATCTCTACAGTGTAACACAGTATATGTTTAAAATTAATATTCCAGCCCTGAGTGGTGACATGGCACACATCCTTAATCCCAGCCCTTGTGAGACAGAGGCAGGTGAATCTCTGAGTTTGATGTCACTCTGTTCTATATAAGAAGTTCCAGGCTGGCCAAGGCTACAAAGCAAAACCTTGTCTCTAAGGGGGAAAAAAAATTAAACTAAAACACAAAAGAGAACATACCAGGACTGGAGAGACGGCTCAGTGGTTAAGAGCACTGGCTGCTCTTCCAAAGGACCTGAGTTCAATTCCCAGAACCCATATGGCAGCTCACACCTGTCTGTAACTCCAGTTCCAGAGTATCTGACACCCTCACACAGGCATACATGCAGTCAAAATACCAAAGCACCATAAAATAAAAATAAATCTTTGAAAAAAAAAAAAAAAAAAAGAGAGAGAGAGAGAGACCATTCCATTTTTCACCATCTGGAATGAGGTGTCTCGAAGCCCTACTCGGGGACTGAGGCTGTAACCCTGATGTGACTGCACTTGGAGGCTGGGGATATGCAAGGTTAGATTAAATCAAAATCAGTCCTCGTAAGAAGAGCAAGAGAAGAGTTCGGAGGGAACAGTGAGAAGGTGCTCTCTCCAGACAGCAACCCTGCTAGCATTGCCATCTTCTATTCAGACCTCCATAACTGAGAAATAACACAAACTGTCACTTAAGCCACCTAGTCAGTAGTAACTTGTTTTAGAAACCCAAAAATGAACACAGTCCATAAAGAAAAATATAAAACTAGTGATAGAAAATAAAAGATTACCTCTGCCTGATCCCAACTTGATAGCTTTTTGGGAGTGGCACCAGGAGTCTGGTCAGCAGTTTGATCCCAGCGCCGTTTTCGTTTTGAGGGAGGCTGGGAGGCTGCTGCTCCATTGACGACTTTTAGTTCTCCAGCTTTAGCTTTTTCTGCTAGTTGTTGCCTAATTTCTCTCTGAAAAATATTTGAAAGAGCAGAGAACATTATTTCATTATTTCATTACGTGGAAGAAACTCACAGGTGGCTTATATCTACCTCACATGCCTAAGATCCTGTTCAGTTCCCAGCACCAGAAAATAGGAAGGAAATTCCTCCAATTAAGTTTTTATACTACTAGTATATTCATTTCTTCTTAATAAGCTATTTAATATTCCACTCACAACAAGTGAGTGAACATGCTTTTAATCCCAGCAGTTGGGAGGCACAGGCAGGTGCATGTCTGATTTTGCGGCCAGCCTGATCTACAGAGCAAGTGCCAGGACAGCCAGGGCTACACTGAGACCCTGCCTCAAAAAAACAAACAAACAAAAAACCCCCTCTCTATTTTCTGTTTCTAGTTTGTACCATTCATTATCTTTAACAGTTCTATATATTGTTTCTCCCTAAACAATATATAAGCAACTCTAGAGTTTGAACAGCCTACACTTTGAAGCTACTGAAGGAAATTTATTATAAAATAAAATCTCTAGTCAGTAAGTAAAATATTCACTTAGCAGAGATTTCAAAAATATACAACTGAAAGCTTTTAAAACTCAAGACAAAAATAAGCTAGGTGTACTGGCACATGCTTGTGATCCATAGTCTAAGGCAGAAATACTGCTTTGAATTCAAGACCAATAAGTCTGTTCCAGCCCAGCCAGGAATACATAGCAACACTCTTGTCTCAAAAACAAAAAAAGAACCAAAAAAGTGGAAATAAAACTTAGTGTCATAATAAATGCATTTAATTCAGTTTCGTTTTAAAATAAGGTTCCACTTCTCTTCTAATTCACCTAACAAACTCTACTTGCTTTATTATTAATAAAGGCACAGCAGCTATAACAATAAGCCAAGGCAGCCTCGGTAGTGTGCACCTTAATTCTTTAACCCTCAGAAGGCTGAGGCAGGACTGTCACAGTGCATTAGAGGCCAGCCTATGACTAGGGCTACAGATACAGAGTTAGTTCTAGGTTAGCCTGGGCTACAGGAAAACCTTACTTCAAACAACAATCAAAAAGAACAGGACCAGGAGCACTGGAGAGATGGCTCAGAGATTAAGAGCAGTAACTGTTTTTCCAAAGGTCCTGAGTTCAAATCCCACAACCACATGGTGGCTTACAACCATCTAAGATGAGATCTGGTGCCCTCTTCTGGTCAACAGGTGTACATGCAGACAGAATACTGTATTAATAATAAATAAATATTTTTTAGAAAGCAAAAAAAAGTTAAAAAACAAACAAACAAACAAACAGGACCAGGGATGGCAAGAAGGCTCGGCTGGTAACAGCACTTGTTGTTACCCTGGAATTCACTTGGTAGAAGAACTAACTCCTGCAAGCTGTCCTCTGGCCTCCACAGGCACACCATGCCATGTACCATGGCATGAGCATATACACACAAATAAATAAATGTAATGAAAACAAAAACTACAAAAACAGTTGAAGTCTGGCTCCTCACCACTACACCTATGCTAAAACACAATTATCTCTGTAAGCCAAAGGGTTATTCAGAATTCTCCATCTATTGCCAAACCCAATCTCCAGCAGGGATTCTTTAAGAAATAACGTGACCACTAGCTTCATGAGGTATACTACTAAATGTCCCTAAACACCTCCCCAACCATGCCCATACACCCAGGAGGCCAGAACGTCCTAGGAAATCGAAATGACAAGTTTCAAGGGTGATACAATTCTGGGATGATATTCTTAATTTTTATGATGGAAGTACTACAGTCCAACTATGATTGTTCACACCTTTAATTCCAGCACTTGAGAGGCAAAAGCAGACAGATCTCTCTGAATTTTAGACCAGCCAGGTCTATATAATGAGACTATCTTTAAAAAATAATTTAAAAAGAGAGAGAAAAAAATGCTGGGCAGTGTGGTACATACCTTTGACCCAGCACTGCAGAGGCAGGTGGATCTCTGAGTTCAAGGCCAGCCTGGTCTACAGAGAGTTCCAGGACAGTCAAGGCTACACAAATAAGTCCTGTCTCGGGGCAAGGGGGGAAGCAAAAATACTGCTGTGAACGAGAACTAAATAAACTAAATAAATATAAAACTCTCTCAAATATTCTTATATTAGTTCACAACCACTACACTGAGTTCATACCTCTTCCTTAGTCAAATGCTGTTCTCGCATAACATCCATGTAAGTTCTAGCATTCATTTTAGGATCAGGGGTCTTCCCTCCTGCAGAAAAGAACAGCAACAGGACAAGAGTACAATAAATAAAGCGTATTAGGTTCAACTGATTTCTCTGCCCTGCTCTAATATTATGTTATTACAAAATCAATTAATTTATTTTTTGGTGGAAAACTTTGATAATTATACATCTTACTTTTTATTGAGTTTGCTGATCAATTTAACCTGTTTGAACACAAACATATCTACAGCAGTTTAAAACAATTATTTAATGCATATATAAAGCAAAATGACAGCACAGTTTAGAGTCTTCAGAAGTGATGGGTTCCTGGGTTGCTAATCCGGAATACGTACACTTTCGTGCCTTTGTCTCCATCAGCAGTTCTGACTTCAAGCAGCAGAATAGAAGCCTAGAAAATTATCTCTTTACCATTAGTAACACTTTGGAAAGATATTTATATTCAAAACATTACCTGTTGCAAGCTGTTAAAATCCTGACTACAGTAACTGACTAAAGTAAGTTTTTCATCTAAACAGTTGTAACTTAGAAAATCTGATTATAAAAAATATACCTACAATCATATTCTCATGTCACATTACTAAAAAGGGCTTCATGTTTTTAAAGTTTTTTTTTTTCTTGACCCACTATATAATTCTATTTCTTAGAAAGTACAATTACAATGGAAATATTACTTAAGATATATTATTCTACTAGTTACTACAATGCACACAAAAGAAAAGTGGTGTACAAAGAGATGTGTTAGTCTCTTGGTTAAAGTTTCAGTATTTGCTTTACAAACTGCAAAATATCTTAAAGAAGCCCAAACAGTATATAACAAAAACCAAAGGCACACTATGCTTTAGAAAAGTGATAATTAGCTATACAAGTAGTATAGCATTAAAATTTAGGACAAAATAATAAAATTCTAAGACATCTCCTATGCTGACGATCATGCCCAATTGGTAGTGTCATTCTTTCTGACACTAGCTCTGATAAGACTTCCTTTGGAATACTCTTTCACCATAATCTAGAGAGGATGTGTTGAACTGCACCCTTAAGAATGCAGACAGGACTGGCATATAGCAGTACTGCTGTAGGAAAGAAATTAAGGACAGTTAGTATGGGCCTGTGAATTCTGACATACATGTTTAAATCAATTACAATTATGCAAGTAAAAAAAAGAATAGCCCTATTCATTCATGCAGGCTGAAGTCTAATTTGTAAACCTGCAGCAAAATCTATTTTTAGAAACAGGCACTTAGTTTTGAGGGTGGGACTCACTCACCTGAGGAAAGCTTCCATCAGGCTCACTATGGCCCTTGTACACTACAATTAGCAAAACAGACTCCAACTATTAAAAACACGAAAGTCTTTGCATATAATTTTGTTTTAACTATAAATTTGCATAGAGCAAAGTAGGTGCATTTACTAAGCTATTACAATATGAGGGAACTCTAGTGTGAGAAATAGTTTCTCAAAAGTAACAATCCAAAACTCTAGAATTTTGAATGAAAACTTTGCAATATTTTGCAAGTATTTTGAGCAGAAAAACACATTTGTTCAAAGTATACCAAGAGTACCCAAAACAAAAGTAAAAGAAAAACCTTTAACCCTTTGCGTTTCTATGGCATTGGCTCATTATTTCTTGTCCTTCTACCTGGAAAGAAAACTTGCATTATAAAGATGAAGACTATGGCATCTGTGATTTCAACCAAATCTATACAAATCTATAAGGGGGTCTTTAAAAACAAAAAGCAAATTCATAAGCATGCCAAAAAAAATCAAAGGGCTAAAGACAACTTAATTAAAATAAATTTCTGAATACTTATAGAAAAGTGGGAAAGAATTACCATCTGCAAAAGGATCAAGACGCTCTGGAGAAATTATCATGGTCCGCCTATGCTTTTTGTATTCATCTTCCCGATCTGCAATCTTTGGGGGGCGATGTTCAGCAAATGGATCATACTGAAAGAGAGGCATGTCTCACTTCAATGCATACTCTGTTAAATAACCAACAACTCCCTACCACACACACACAAAAAATACATAAACCATTGTTTAAAAAAAAAAAAGCATGTGACTGATCAGTCCTAAAAGTCTACACTTCATGTAATGACTGCCTTTACAAAACAATTACTTGTGACTCTCCCACGCCAGTTCTTCTCTCAAAACAGTCTCAGAATTGACTGCTAAAATTTCTATGCTTTGCTGGGCATGGTGGTGCATGCCTGTAATCCTAGCACTTAGGGAGGCAGAGGCAGATCTCTGCGAGTTCGAGGCCAGCCTGGTCTACAAAGCAGTCCAGGACAGCCAGGGCTACACAGAGAAACTGCCTCAAAAAAACAAAAACAAAGAGAGAGAGAAGATTTGCTTCCATGGGAACTCACTCCCTTTCTGTGACTGAATCAGGTGTGGAGGTGTAGAGAGTCACCTGCTCTGTTGACTGTGGAATATCATTAAGTAGTGCCACAGGGGCATGGTACCCAGGCTTCTTCTGACCAAGCAAGCTCGTAGATGAAGAGTAGTCATCGTCATCCTGCAATGAAACACCCAAAGGTCACAAACAAAATATCACAACAGAAAAATTAACATGACAAAAAGCCTGTGATTTGGCAACTTCCATAGTTTATTTGGACTTCCTCAGTTTTCTTTAACCACAGAAACAAGGAAACAATAATCGTTATCAAATGCACTGACTTCCCTAAGGGTATATTTACAGAGCATTATATATGCTGGCTGAGGAGCTAGTAACAGCTGCTGACTTCTTGGGGAGAAAGTTTTAAGGGGGTGGCCCCTGGTCGGCTGCCATGCTCCAGTAGATGGTTTCAAGGCCCATGACTGTAAGCAGCACAAACTAGACTCCGTGAGTTATTTTTTAAAAAGAGGAGACAAAAGTTGGAAGGGCATGGGTTGGGTCTGGAAGAGTGAGGTGGGAAGTAGATGGTGAGTAAGATCAAGATACATTGTAAGCTAATATGAAATTCCCAAAGAATAAAAAAATCTTATTTCTTTAAAAACTGAAAAGACAAGAGATCAAGAGAAACTAAAGCTAAGCACAGTGGCACAAGCCTATAATGCCAGCACCCTGATTGACCTGTAAGAAGATCCTGTCTCAAAACAAACAAAATACGTAATTTGAAAGTTTAGTTAGCCCAGTGATAAAGCATTTGTTAGAATAAAGAAGGCCTAAAGTTTGATTTCAAATCAAATCATGTCACAAAAATTGGGTGTATAGAATGAACAAGTCACAGAAAAATGGCTATTTACAGTAAAGTCACTTTTTCTATAGGGTACTCAAGACAGGGTTAGGTAACAAGAATTTATATCAAAAATAATGTGAAAGCGCTTTATATACTGTGCAACAATATTCAGAGAAGTCTTCCACATCAAATTCAAAACTGAGCATTTCAGAAAGTATCTGAGGGCATGGTGCAGGCTCCAGCATTGGGCAGGCAAAAACAGGCAGATTGAAACAGGTTATGGTAGCATGCCCTTTTAGTCCCAACAGCTGGAAGACAGAGTTTGAGGCCCACATGGTCTACATACAGGATTACACAGTAGTGGGTATGTGTGTAGATGTGCCTACACCTACATCCAGTTCCAAGCCAGCTAGGACATTGTGGGGTATGTGTGTATTTATGTGTATGTGCACGTGTGTGTGTGTGTATGTGTGTGTGTGTGTGTGTGTAACTGTTTTCTCTTTCCTTTTAACCAGGCAACTCAAACAGAAAAATCCCTTCTATTTCTTACTTTTTCTTAAAAAAGAAAAAGAAAATAACCCTTGCCTCTTACATAATTTGTAACTTACATCTTCAAGTTCAGTGGCAGCAATTGATGTCACGTATCCAGCAAATCTGCTATCACTTCCACCATAAATTTCTTGGTCATAATAACCTGTGGAATCAAGGCCCACTCCTTGGGCTTCATCAAGAGCTGCCTTCTTGCCTTGAATTTCTCGAATCTGTGCTTCAATATCTGTAAGAAAGAAAACACAATTTCATATTCCAAAGAGCTCTCAATAAAATGCATCCCCTCACTAGATCTTATCAAATATACTGAAATATAGGAAAGTTTAAGTTTATTTCCCCATGTAATAAAAGAGCTGTATTAAGTACAACTACACATACACTCTTATCTCTTTACCTCAACAGACGAAAAGAAATCCAAAAAACTGATTTATTATCTCACCCTAACCATTAAAACAACTTACCCTAACCATTAAAATGGATTATCAAAATTAATCTCAAAATTCTAAACCTTCCCCAACTGAAAAATTAGAGCCACTTCAAAATATGTATTTATTACTAGTATGAGTGGAGCATGTCTAAATGTGTAGATCAGGTAACGCATTAAAGTCAGTTCCCTCCAACCTTTGCATGGTTCCAGGGATCAAACTGAGGTCACTAAACTTGTTTGACAAGTGATTTGCTGAGCCTTCTCTGCCAGCCAGAAAAACTAAATAAAAACTGTTGGTGTTGATTATGAACCAGGGCAATATTCACAATTATTTAAATTTGTCACTACCAGAACTGACCTAGAGACATAATTAATTCAGTGGTGAATCACTTGCTCAGCATTGCATAAGCTCCTCAATCTGATACAGAGCCTCATGTATTGTGTTACAGCAGAAAATAAAACCCACTACCAAAGTTGTAAAACAACAGTATAAGTCATTTCTCAGCCTTCTGGCTAAGACCAAGTATAAAACAGCATTAAGGTAGGCACAGTGAGGCTAGAAAAGTGGATGAGCAGGTAAAGCACCTGTTGGTGAGCCATCTCCTTCCACTTGCCAAGTCAGGCCTTTCTTGTTTCTCAACTGTATAGTGGACTCCAGCTTTGCTGCCCCAAAGCTCTGCCAATTCTCTTATCTTTATTTTCCACCTTGCAGTAGGAGTACTGACACCTCATATCTACTTTTATGCATCTAACTTTTTACACATCTAGCTTTTTACATGAGCTCCAGGGATCAAAATTTCTAAGATTACATGTGTGAGTTAGCATGCCCAGCACTCTTTAGTTTTCTTTTTAATATAGACTGAGTTAAGAGTGTTGCTAAGTTGGCAGGTGTTTGCCTAGCATGAATAAATGCCCCAGCACTGTATAAACAAGTATAATAACTCCCAATTTATAATTGGAGAAACCCAGAAAAGACAGGAATTCAAGGCCATCTTTGGCCACCATGACTTCAAAAGCATGATTAAGAGATTTATGGGTGGGTCATACAGCCTATGAACAGAAGAAACCCTCCTTCACCAGTTACAGGGATCAAAATAAGGACAGAAATTATCACATTAACTGCCCAACCCCACTGAGTCTCATCTAAGAAAAACATTGTATTCTCAAAGGTAGACCATTTTTAAAATCTAACAAGTAAGTTTATGCAGTCCAAAGAATAGCTGGGCCCCTTTCCCAGTAAGACGGAAAGTGGCAAGCAAAGAATTAAAGAGGCAATGAGAGGCTGGAAAGATGGCTTAGTGGTTAAGAGCACTGGTTCAGTTCTGTAACTCCAGTTCTGACACCCTTTTCTGGCCTCCAAGGCACAGCATGTATGAGGTACACAGGCATACACATAGGCACAACACCTATGCATTTAAAAATAAAACTTTAAAAATGAAAAAATAAGAGGTAGTAAGTTTGCTGTCCCGCATTTTTGTTGTTTCACATCTTAATAATCTTAGCATGTATTACTGTATTCACAGACACTATCATCTCCTACATTGCACCCCTCAAAACTGTTACAGCAAACAAGCACAGTCAGAATTACCCGAACTTAAGCTATCTTTTCCTGATTTATCTTTTGCCATTATCTTTTAATACTGTTTAAAGCTGTTTGTTTTTTTTTATTTTATATTACAGTTTATTTACTTCGTATCCCTGCTGTAGCCCCCTCCCTCATTCACTCCCAATCTCATCCTCCCTCATCATCTCCTCCCATGTGTCCCTCTCCAAGTCCACTGATAGGGGTGGTCCTCCTCCCCTTCAATCTGACCCGAGCCTATCAGGTCTCATCAGGACTGGCTACACTGTCTTCCTCTGTGGCCTGGCAAGGCTATCCGCCCCCACCCCCTTAAGGGAGGTGCTCAAAGAGCCAGCCACTGAGTTCATGTCAGAGACAGTCTCTGTTCCCCTTACTAGAGAACCCACTTGGACACTGAGCTGCCATGGGCTATATCTGTGCAGGGGTTCTAGGTTATCTCTATGAATGGTCCTTGGATGGAGTATCGGTCTCAGAAAAAGACCCCTGTGCCCAGATTTTTTGGTTCTGTTGCTCTCCTTGTGGTGCTCCAGTCCCCTCCAGGTCTTTCTATCTCCCCCTTCTTTCATAAGATTCCCTGCACTCTGCCCAAAGTTTGGTTATGAGTCTCAGCATCTACTTTGATACACTGCTGGGTAGAATCTTTCAGAGGCCCTCTGTGGTAGGCTTCTGTCTTGTTTCCTATTTTCTCCTTCTTCCAATGTCCATCCCATTTGTCTTTCTGAGTGAGGATTGATCATCTTACCCAGGGTCCTCCTTCTTGCTTAGCTTCTTTAGGTGCACAGATTGTAGTATGTTTATCCTATATTATAAGTTTAATATGCACTTGAGTATATACCATGTTTGTCTTCATGCTTCAGGGATACCTCACTCAGGATGATCTTTTCTAGTTCCCAACATTTTCCTGCAAATTTCATGATTTCCTTGTTTATAATTGCTGAGTAGTATTCCACTGTGTAAATGTACCACAATTTCTTTATCCATTCCTCCATTGAAGGACATCTGGATTGTTTCCAGGTTCTGGCTATTAAGAATAAAGCCATGAACATGGTTGAGTAAATGTCCTTGTTGTGTACTTGAGCATG